TGTGTGTGTGTGTGTGTGTGTGTGTGTGTGTGTGTGTGTGTGTGTGTGTTTTGTTAGATTTAAATTGATGTTGGACACTTGATTTGTTTTAGTGTTAGCCAACCGCATTAGCCTGCATCGCTTACTCATTTGGCACTCAAGATACTAACGGCATGGCCGTTGTTAACGGTTAGCTGCGCGAATTGACAATTGCAATTTCCAATTGCAGTTCACAGTTCACAGTTCACAATTGTCGCGCGCGTCACGTACGCGTTTTAATTAAATGCCACTGAAGTTAGCTCTGCTGGAAATGTTTAAAACGCGCGCTCTGCATCTGAAAACGAAATCAAAGCAGCGACATTAACAGTTAAACAGCGACGCGGACGGTGGCGGCAACGGTGACGATGGGGGCCCACTTGGCGGCTTCCCGGTTGACACACGACTAACCGACTAAGGCTAGCCCAAATGGCAGTCGCACGAAATCCAAAATCCAAAATCAAAATGAAAACCAAAACACAAACAATAAGCACAAAATAGATGTAACCAAAGCTAAAGAAACTGACAAACTGAAAAATAAAAGAAAACAAAAACAACAAAAAACGCCGGCAGAGACAGCGGTAGAACGGTCGCACCCCTCAACAAGCGAAGCCCCCGCAAAAACAGACGACGACGACGACGACGACGACCACACGATGACTTTTGAATAATATTTACATTTAGTTTGTGTGCATGCGTGTGTGTTTGTGTGTGTGTGTGTGTGTGTGCGTGCTTAACGCAGGCAGCGAGCCGCGCTGTTAACGTGCGCAAAACAAAAGCTACAGCTGCAGCGTCTTAGGCAGCGAAGGCGAAGAGCGAACGAAACAAGGCACAGACACAAAATATAAATGACGAAATTAAAGCAACAGTAGCAACAATAACAACAACAGCAGCAACAACTGCTTAGTGTATAAGCAATGCACATTAAAATGTGTGTGGCAGAAGCGCAAAGCGAAAACGACTAGCAAAAAGCAGGCTGCGATAAACAGCAACAACAACAACAGAAGTAAATAGCAGAAGCTAAGAAAAACGCAGGCAAAACGCGCGCGACTTATGCACGTGCTACGCGCAAGCGTATGTGTGTGTGTGTGTGTGAGTGTGCAAGTGGGCATGCGTTCGTCAATTGAGCGCGTTTCAGTGCCAAAAGTACAAAGGAGAGAGTGAGAGAAAGAGAGAGCCGCAGCGCAAGTGTGCAGCTTGCCTGGCATTTGAGTTGATTGCTGTTGTTGCTACTAACTGGAATCTTTACTGCAATAAGAATATACAAATTTGTTGTATAAATTGTGAATAAATTTGTTATATTATTGATAATTGTAATTGTATTGTTTAATTGTATATTAGAACGAAAATGTAGATTAAAATGTAAATTATATACATATGTATGTATTATATTGTAAATGAATTTATGTATGTATGTACATACATACATATGTATGTATGTAAATACATGTAATTTTTTTAATTTTCCTATTTATTAAATCTTCTGCAATCAATCGAAGAGCTTTTTGATCGTACGACCAAACCGAATTATATTTAATATATGTATGTATGTATAGCTGCTCTAAGCTTATATTACGATGTACATACATACATACATATGCAGTCGTACATGTAGATCAAGTATTTTTTTTTTTTTTTTGTAAACTATAATTTAAAATCAGCGCAAATATTGTTTTACTGCAGAAACCCTTAGGTGTTAATTCAATTATGATCTATTTTTATTCCTAGCTCTTCTAGGTTTTGTAATTGTGGGTTCCATAGCTCTTAACATTAGGCTAAAATCTTTCGGGCAAGAGCATCTCGTGCTTCCCACTCAACCGCGCAATAGAGAGACTCCCTCTCATCTTACCTGTAGGTTTTAGTAATCTTCCCGAAACTTGCCACGCTAATAGATCGATAAATATCGATAAATCTGCCAACTGAAAGTCAAAGGATCAATAATTTTAATAGAATATGAAATATATATGTATGTACATATGTTAATATAGATATGTATATATATTTGCGCATACCACTCATTCGATCTATACTCTGTAACAACTATATATGTATATACTATGTATACACACATACATATATGTATACGCTTCATACATAAAGAAACTAGGCACAGCGGGTTTGGTGGTCAACAATTGAGGATTGCTGGAATCTGAAAGAATTTAATACAAGTACGTCTCTATGTATGTATGTATGTAGGCATGTATGTATGTTTGTTTGTTTGTTTGTAGTTGAGCAGGCGACAGCGACTAGACGGGACACTCGAGCAGCGTGAGGGATGAGCAGGAGCTGTGAATGGTGCGCAGCTCGCACAGCTCGTCGATGAGATCGCGAAAGAGCATCGGATTGACATTGACGCTGACCTTCATCAGGAGGAACCAATCGCCGATGGTCAGATCCCGGAAGACGTGCTGCACATGCTGTTTGGTCATGTAGCGCAATTGGCTGCGTATCATCAGCTCGCGCAGCGTCCGGCTGAGCATCATGGCCAGGCGACAGAGCAGATTCAGGCCGGACATGAAGGCCATCAGCAGGAACCAGCACCAGAGGCAGACGAAGATCTTCTCGTTCAATATGTTCAGCGGCAGTATGCATAGATTGTCCATGATGCTGGCCGTGCCGCTGGCCCCATACTTGAGCACCTCGCACTTGGCGATCTTGGGGAAGACCCGCGACGAGATGTGATTCCAGCGATCCCAGTCGTACAGCGGTATCGTGGCCAGCGCATGCAGATACTTGCTCCAGAAGCCATTGAGGAACACCTCCAGCGCCAGGATGTTGAGTATCTGGAATGGGAGAGCGCAAAAGTGAGAGTCGACTGACTGACAATGCCGATGCCGATGACCCACCCCGCGGGACTACTCACGCTGATCAGAAAGTTGAGGAGCTCGCAGAAGACGTACTTGGCCATGTAGCAGTAGTGCATGTCCTCGTAGTCGGTGGTAAAGTACTTGACCAGCAGTCGGAGGCGCGTGTTGTACGTCTGCTCCGAGAGCAGCGCCTCGCCCACCTCCGAGCAGAGCTGCTTCAGCCGCTGGCCCTCCCACACCTTCCAGAGGCACGACGGAAAGTAGAAGACGAACGATTGGAAGAGGAGCAGTATGATGACCCACTGATAGTAGCGCAAGTAGACGCGCTGCGTCTGGCCGCGCACCTCGGGGCCGACGCCCTCGGCTATCGATATCGCCCGCGCGTACTCCTCGTTGTAGTCGGCCAGCCGCCGCAGGCTGACCCGGCCGTGTCCGGCACGGCTAGTCGGCGGCGGCGGCGTCGGCAGCAGCTGACGGAGATCGGTGGAGTTGTCCACCTTGATGATGTAGGTGCCCATCGTCCAGCAATAGGACTGCACATAGTTGATGTTCTTCTCCTCGCTGATGCACTGTATCGGATCGCCGAAGTACTGGCGCGCCGACAGCAGCAGCGAGCACGTCAGCAGGATGACCACCGTGCACTTGGAGTGAATGGTGAAGACGGCATCGTAGATGCGTATCGATTTGAATTGCAAGTACTTGGACAATGGCTTCACAGCCGAATACATTTCCTCCGCCTCGGGAAAGAGTACCTCGACGACTGTGTCCAATTCTCAAACTCCTGCTCGGTCTCAGTTCGGCTGCAGGCAGCGTGAGTGGCCTCTCGCTCGCACCAGTGCCCAAGCACCATACACTGCTAATGTTGTTCTCTCTCACTCGCACCTCAGCAGTGCTGCTGGCGGTGCTGCTGCTGCTGCTGCTTCTTCTTCTTCTCCTGTGGCTCCTGCTTCTTCTTGTTGCTATGCTTCTACAGTTCGTATTCTATTCTCCTTTTATTAAAATATAGTTTTCTTTCTATTTGGTTTTGTATATCTATATCTATATATATTTTTTCGGTTTTTTCTGGATTCCTGTTACTGTTGCTCTTGTTTAGGGTCTCTGCAGCTGACTTGCACCCGCACACGCGCTCGCCGGCCTAAGGGTAGCGACATAAACAAAATGTTGATTGTCGCTCGGCTTTACATATTTGTTTGTGCTGCCCCTCATCATTATATACGTTTACGTTTTCACATTTCAATTTACACACAACTCTATAATAAATAAGTATAAATAATGCCATATATATGTATATGTAGATATGTATGTGCATATGTCAGTGTGTTGACATTGTTTTTAAATATGTATTTGTTGTTGTTGTTGGCCCAGCTTCGATAGGTCGCATCGCTGTGTATCGATAAACGAAAGCACATATTCAAAATTTAATTCCTGTGGCATTCAGCGCCTGAAGTCAAGCAACAAAAAACTGTTGCATACTTTTAGGCGCTGCTCGAAAATCGTCCCAGCCCAGCACAGTTTGACAGCCACTGCGCTGGCAACTTCATTTGGGCTTTGTCATGAATAATAAAACGCAAATAATTGTTTAATTAATTTATTACATTTATTCTACACAAAAAGTATCAGTGTGCGTGTTTGTGTGTGTGTGTGTGTGTGTACTGCGCCCATATTCAGCCTTAATTAATTGATTTACTTTGCGTTGAGGCACGTCCTTGTCCTTGCTGGCCCAAAATAAAAATAAAGAGAGCAAAAAAAAAAAAGAAAATCATCCAAAACTTCAATTGCCAATTAGTCCAAGTTCAAGAATCCAATTATTGAAGGTATCTGCAATTAGCAGCAGCATCATGAAAAGAGAAACAACAACAAACATATTAAAACATATTAACAAAGCACACGCACAAGCAAACTAATTAGCATAAATCAAATTAATTTATTTGCCGTTGCGGCCCTGGCCAACGAGCGACATCTCGCACCGCTCACAGTCGATAAAACGAAAATAAATAATAATAAATAATAATAGAAAATATATATATATATATAGCCGAAATATGTCACTGTGTGAGCATATGCCAGCAATAAATGGAGCATTTAGCTTCTTTTTTTTTTTCTTCTTTTTTATTGCAAATAATTTAAAGTTTAATGATTGTGGCAAGTCCATGGAAATGCTGCTAAAGAGCTTAAGGTTAGGCTGTCCCTAGCGGACTGTGAAGGACTGGAGAATGATGAATGTGATGAGATATGCATGAAATATGGATTGCCTGCACATCTATAAGAATAACTTATAGTATTTTCTAAATTATTCATATCTAGCCTTTATAGAGCTAAAGAAATTCGGCAAAAATCAAGTTGAAAGGGATGATAAATATATGATATGGATATGATAATGATATATATATATATACGTAACTCTAGAGAGAACATAAAAAATAGATGATATGGATAGAGGATAAACGGTAGAGCATAGATGAATGAGAATAGAGAGTAGAGGATAGATGATAGAGGAAGAGAGTGGAGGAAGGATAGGGAATCGAGAATGGAGAATTGAAAATTGATAATAAAACAGAGAAGAGAAATGAGAGAAGATAGAAAACAGAAGAGAGTGGAGAGAGGGTAGAGAATTGAGAATGAAGAATTGAGAATAGATGAAAGATGAAAGAAGAGAAAAGTCGAGAAGTGAGAAGATAGAAGAAAGAGGAGAATGAAGAGAGGATAGAGGATGGAAAATAGAAGAAAAGAGAGAGTGGAGAGAGGATAGTAGAGAGAAAAGGAGGGCGGAGGGCATATAGAGGATAGAGAATAGAATATTACGATATGAATTATTTAAAGTAGTTCTTTATTAATATCAATAGCTTCTTTTGTTACATCTGTCATTATCTATATATGCCTGAAGGCCTTTGTCGCTCTGGCTTAACAAATTGTTATTTAGAATTAATTCTCGATAACAACAAATAAATAAATAAATAAATAAATTTATATATATTTATATTATATATACTCATATATAAGAACCCTTTCTTAATATATAAATAAAGTAATCATGAAGCTGGATAAAAATGAAGTTATTCATTATAAGAATTGCAATTACTCGCCTCAGATGGAATCTTTAATTGAAATTACTTTAAAATTAACCCAACAAAACAAATTATAGCCAGAGTTACAGCTCGTGAGTGTAATTAGTAACTTAATTAAGTCTCAGCCTTATGATATATTTCACATATAAAATATACGGACTTCCAAGTCATAAAGAAACGAAAATCGTTAAAAATACATAAAGTACTCGCTGAGGCAGTGCGGTATTCCCTGAACTTGACCTCCAATGCCGCTCAATCAGACCAACAGCAGCAACAACAACAACAACAACAACAACAACAGCAACAAGCAACAAGCAACAGACAAAAGCAACAGCAATAAAATGTTGTTTAAACACGTCTCGAATCGCAGCTCTGCGCTCGCCCGAGATGCTGCCTATGCTCTCGGCTCCTCATGCGCAGAGCTCCGCATGAGTTACACAGAAGACAGATTCGAGTTTGGCTTATATTTGAATACCCTAGAGTTCGACTAGAAAAAGTCTACGGCGTATATACCCTGAGCGAAGATAATTTGGGCAACTTTGATGCTGCTCAAGTTATGGTAAGAGTCTGAAGCGAATATGGACTACGCCGGAATGAATATATGTGTATATTCCTGGGCATGATTAACAGCCAGGTGAAGCAGGCTCCATTCGTTTACCTTTCCGGCTAATCATCCGTTTGCCCGTCGGTCTGTCTAAAGTTATTTAACGGATAACAGATAAATGTGTCCATCCGTGCGTGTTTGTCTGTCCGTTAGCCTACTACTCGGACTGTCTGTCCATCCGTCTGTCGGTATTTCACTTATAGTGTCTATCCGTCCGTCTACAGATATTTAACAGATATTTAAAGACATTTAACAGATAACTAATAAATCTGACATTTGCCTTTCCGTCGGTCTATTATTCGGACTCTCCTTTCGTCCGTCTTTCTGTCACTATAGCTATGTGTCCTTTCGTTTGCCTACCACTCGGAGTGTCGGTCCGTCCGTCTATCTATCTATCACTCGGACTATGTGTCCTCCGTTTCCCTACCACTCGGTCTGTCCGTCCATCTGTCTACAGATATTTAACTGATAGTTAATAGATAACTGATTAATCTAACTATCTGTCTTTCCGTCTGTTTATTATTCTGGTCCGTCCGTCTTTCTGCCTCTCTGACGGTCTATCCGTCCATTTGACTACCACTCTTACTGCCTGTCCGTCCGTCTGTCTATAAACAAATAAGTGATAAATCTGTCTTTCGTCTTTCGTCTATTTACCACTCTGACTGTCTGTCAGAGATGACAGATACATCTGACTATCTGCCTGTGCGTCTGTCTATCCGTCTTACTTCCACCCCGTCTGAGCCACAAAAAGCGCAAAATCTAGTCAGAAATTAAATCCAGTTATAGTTAAATATCAAGTCCCTTAAATAGCTCATCATCTAAAAATCAATTTAGCTAGGGATAGCTGCTCCGATTTGACAACATGAATAAATATCTAAGGCCTTTAAGTTATACCCAGGCACTTCGGCTCTTCTAGTTAACTAAGACTCTCATCTGTCACTGAACAAATTAGAATTATCTGAAAATTATTTAATTACTGTTAAGTCTTAATGGTTTTAGCTCTAGCCATAAACACTCAATTGCCGAGTTCCCATAGCTTTTATAGACATATTTGACGTCATTTCGAGTTTTGCAACTACAGATCATAAATCGAGCTAAAGAGAATTACTTCCAACTGTCAACTATAGCATAAACAATTGTCACACTCTTCCAGATATAGTAATTGATCTGAATATTCTGCTAAAATGAAGTTCAATTTCTATAACTAGAAATTGGTTTATATGTGATGAATTGAAATCTTATCTATATGGAATTATTATACCAGGCACCTCATATATCATGGATTCATTCTTTATTCAGTGTAGAAACTTTTCGTTTTTCCTGAATTTTTCTTAGCTGTCTATCTACAAAGCCATACAGAAACAGGTATATAACATATATGACATATGTATATAACATATATAGCATATATTATATAGAATATATATGTCATATCAGTGCGCTATTACGATATATACATGTGTATTACAAAAGAAACAAATAAATCGTAATTCAAGGGGTATTCCCATGAAGACTCTACCTCGTTTTTTCTCGACTGCCATTCAATTATTCATATTGTTTTAATTTGTATTTTTGTTTGGGTTTCTGGGGCCATTGATCGGCGGGCTTATTAGTATTTCTGGTTGTATTGTAAAACGATTTCGGGCCCCTCATCAAGTCGAACGCGGAAGCGGAGAAACATAAATAAATACAAGAAGAACAAGCGCTGCCACGCACACGGCATAAGAACTAAGCAAAATATAAGATAAAAAAAAAAAGAATGGAGGAAAATCCCACCAAAAGTAAATCTAGAAGAACTCCAATTTGTATCTTTCGGTGTTTTTTGGTGCTGTCGTTTGTAAAGTAATTGTGACTTGCGATTTTTAACGATTTACGTGTTGAGTCTGTTCCGCAACGCTGAGCGCAATTATAATTTAGATACTAGAGCGTAGAGCCAGAGATACAGATGCACGAAGGCAACAGATACTGGCCAAGACAAACAGGGCTTAAATATATTCTCCACATGTATCACAGCTTAGTCTGGAAGAGAGACAGAGAGGGAGGGAGAGAGATGGATACAAAGGGATAGCTAATTGGAGATACAGATAAATGGTTAAGGTTTTGCAACAAACACTTCAAAATTAAGACTTTGATCT